TGACATATAAGTTGACCCCATATTTCTTATAAAAAAAGTTAGGATTTTTGTAGATCTGGTGTATAAGTCAACTCCGCCTCACCACAGCCACCTCCAGGGGAGGCATCAGGTGCATGAACTCAGTTGTTACCTCATCCCAGTGCTTTATAAATGTAGGTCAGTGATGGCCACTGTGGCCAGAGCCTGTAAGCTGCAGCCACAGCTGGGTGGGCAGCAGCGGAGCTCAGCACTGGGGGCTGCGAGTGGCTCCTGGCAAGTGCTGCTGCCACTCTGTGCCCTGGTGCTGTTGGCAGCGGGCAGCAGTACTGTGGCTTCTGCGCCATCAGGTGGTGGCTGGCCAAGATCTACCCACAGGGCAGCCACTGGGCTGTGGGTAAGTGTCCCTGGGCCAGACTCGATGGATGCAGGGTTTGGGTGCCCAGCCTGGCTCTGGGGTATCAGGCAAGGTGGAGGCAGGAGCCTGGCCTGACCTCAGTCAGTGCCAGAGAAACTCCCAGACACCAGCACGCCGCCTCTCTGTGGGCTGGGTATGGCAGGGTGCAGGGTCTGGCTGAAGACAAACGAATTTTGAAACACAATATGTTTTTATTTCAAAGTATTGACATAGTGCATAAGTCGAGGTGGAAATTTAAGGGTAAATATTTTGGTTTCAGACATCAACTTATATACCGTGAATATGGTAACTACATCAGAGAGATGTAGCATAAGCCTGCTGCTCACAAAAGCCAATGTTGTATATCTGATATAATTAGCCTATAAGGTGCAAATCTTCCCTGTCTTCTCTCTGGGCTCTTCCCCTGGTGTCACAGGCTTCAGGGGGTCTGTAACCACCTTAACTACAACCTTCCATCTCTTGTCATATGCAATCTCCTTTTACCTTGTGGCATCTTTGCCTATCCCATCCAGATCCATTTTTATGATATCTTCCCATCGTTGCCTTGGTCTACCTCAAGGTCTGATACTTGTCTTTGGTTTGGAGGCCCTTAGGCTGGGGTTTTCTGCTCAGTGGGCTCCTTACATTTTGTATCTGCAACTTCCACCCTCGTTTTTTCAAGTCATTCATTTATTTTTGGGTTCTTTGGCCCTTTTTGCCTCTGAGGGAGGGAGCCCTACATTTTGGAGGCTTGTGCCCACCCTTCCAAACTTCAAATAGGTACAGTGAGGAGGTTTTTGGATATAAATTGGAACTCATGCAGTCAGGTTGAACAAATTACAGGGTACAAATTTAGGTGTCCTCTTTTCCATTTTAATAGATTAATAGCAGCTACTTGAAGAATATTTTGTCAGTCGCATCACAGTGCTGACTCTGGATACTCTGGTGCTCAAGCACGGAGTGGAAAAAATCAGCGGTTGCTGAGCACCCACGAGCCACATTGGGTGAGCCAGGTTGAAGAACACTGACTTTTCTGGGGTTGTGTGAGGTTTTGTGCAGGAACACAACCCCCCCTCCCAAAAACAAAAAAACAAACCCACCAGCAAAAACCAAAGCCTATGAATAGCATGACTTAATTTTGAATTCTCTGCAATATAACTGAAAAGGCAACAGATTTCAGACAGTCACGGCTAGTCATTGTAACAACTCAGACTGTGGAGACAGAAAGTCACTCTTCTACAAAACCTAGTTTTTATCAATTGCGCAGGTAACAGCACAATTCTCTGATTTATGAGCTTTTTGGTTTGATATATCATTAAGACATATTCTATATGCAGTCAAGTTGTTGCAGTAATACAGATACGTTCTGACATATTTATTCACTGGTTCCTGCATAAATTACACTGGTAAGTAAGTAGACTGGACTGCTTTACTTGAAAGAAAAAAGTGTTTAGGTACCCATTTAGTATTGCTTGGTTTCTTTATCTTCTTTTAAGCAAAACTGCTCATCTCTACAGTCTCTAAAGTCTAGTTCTTGGCCTTTACTCTTTGGCAATTTCCTTCTCTCACTTCTTGTCTTTTCACTACCTTTAACTATATGTATAACTTTTCAAATTGTTTCTGTTTGAGTGCACATATATTTTTGGCAACTGCAGTTTCAATGTTTAAACGGCAGTTTCAAGTAGTTTCAATGTTTAATAATAAGTTGTAGCTGACAAAACAATACTTCTCAGAACAGGTGCAAAATTAATTCCATATTTGCAAAGCTGAAGGATATGTATGCAGGATACCTCTGTAAGTATATAGCAAGGTCCAAATCTTAAAATGTATTTAGGTGCCTAAATAGGAGGTAGGTGCTTAAATCCTAATGATTTTAAATGGGACTTCGACACTTTTGAGGCTATGGGCCTGAGGTTGACATTACACGTTACACTTAGACCAAAGTAAGGGCCCTTAAAATATAAACATCTACCCGTTAAAACTAGTTAATACATGTTAAGTGCCCCCTGAGTATCTCAGAATTACACCACTTCGGGCATGGGTTAACTCTGGGCCATACTTCCCAACTTGTCTTAGGGTAACTTCAATCTGCTCTGTGGATTTGCAGTTTGCAGTCTTCCAGCATCCCAAGATGCACTGCTCCCAATCCCCCTCACTGTCCCCCAGAGCAGGGATAGAGGCCAGGTGTTCCAGCTGCTAGCTATGTCCCTGCTCACCAGCCCTCTAGTGGTAAGACAGAGCAGAGCAAGCAAGAGATAGTACTGCCCATTAATGCACGACTGCCCACAAAGTGTTCTAACTTTAACACTGCTTAACATCCCACAGATGTAGTAGGACTATGTGTAATGTGTATACCTTCACCATAAGTTACTTTCAATTTAACCCTTCCTAGGGTGACATCCTGGCCTTAAAGTCAATGACAAAACTCCTCTTGATTTCATCGGGCTGTTATTTTGCCTTGGTTCTTGATAAACCTGTGATTCATTTGGCCATTTTCCTTATTATTACTTTGTTACTGTGGTCAGTTGGCAGTTTGTGTATTTTTAACTGCATTGGTTACTGCTCAGCACTACTATATGACTATGTAGGTATTTGGCTCCATAGACATTTAAAAAAAAATCTTACGAAAGCAACACGTTCCATTGAACACAAATTTCTTTCCCTGAATGAAAGAACAACCTATGTGTGACAATGTCAGTCAAATAACAGTGCAATTCTGAGAGGCATTCAGATTTGTGACTTACCAGTTCTGGAAGTCGAGTGCACCCAGATATTATGAGTTGTACGAGCTATAGAATACTTGCTAACACACAGAAGAGTGTGACAATTAGCTGCAAACTCAAGTTCAGATCCATATTTGTACTGAAACACTCCAGAGCCCAGATGTTAACAGGGCTTTTCCATTTTGTTCTAGGTTAGGGGTGTCCAATTTCTAAGCCCCCAGGGGCTACAGGCATTGGAGGCCTCACAAGTGAGCCACAGGCCACTGGGTTGCACAGACACTCCCCTACACCCTCCTGTTGCACTGTACACCTGCATAGGCACCTCCATACTACTGCACTGGGCACCCAACTCCTTGCTACGCTGCACAGGTACATGAGACCCCTGCTGCAATGCAGTGGTACATGAGCACAATACCTTCCCCACTCCCTTCCCCACTCCAGCGTGTGAGTGTGTGAGCATGATTCCTACTAATGCTGCAGCACATGCCCTCACTGGTACTCCTCCTACTGCTGCAGTACATGGGTGGAATTGCCCACATACAGTGTCTTGTCCCCCCACCCCAGCACACATGGCCCTGTACTCACTCTCAGCTTGCTGCACTGTTTGCCACATAGCCCTGCTCCCTAGGGCATCCCCAAGGCAGAGACAGGAAGTGGCAGCCAGAGGAAGGAGGGACAGCCCAGGGACCCCAGCTACTGTTGTTGCCAGAGCAGTGTAGGTAGGCAGAAGTCTGAAGGTCACAACTTACCCCTTACAGGCTGCATGTAGCCCATGGGCCACCAGTTGGCCCATGGGACCTATTCTAGTTCATTCCATTATAAAGATTTCAGTTTTGGTTCAGATCAGGCCTCAAAGCTTGAACACCTTAAATGCTGGGGGGAGCAGATCAGGGTTTGATTCTGGTCCCTTTCTAATCTATTCCAATAATTAATCATAGTAAAAACTAACTCAGAAATGTATTTTTTCCAGAAGCTAGCTATTGGATTTTTTCTTGCATCGGATGGCTCTGAAACATGGTAAGAAAAGGACAGGAATAATTAAACCCAGCACTCTGGAAGAATAAGTAGGGAGGTGACGTGCTTAGCTTGCAGGACTAAAGTTATAAGTGTCTTGAGTTCTAATCCTAGATGAGCAAATTACTTGTTGTGTGAACTTTGGCAAGACGTTTGGTCTGCCTTTGTTTCAGTTTCCTCATCTGTAAAATGGAGAGGATAATAATGTCTGTCCCTCCCCCCTTTGTAAATATTTGCACATCTTAAAATTATATCTGTAGTACCCATTTTTCATGATGTAGAAAGGAAGTCTGAAATGTTTTATCTTTTCTTTACTCCAATAATAATGAATTGTTTTCTGTTTTTTTACTTTACAGTCAGGGTCTTACCTATCTTATTGACAATTGGAGAACTACTAGGTTCATGACATCACAGGTAACTTTGTAATTAACCTTACCTGAGAGAGAGAGAGAGGGGGGATTTTTAGCCATACTGTATAAAACATTTTGTTTTTAGTTAGTTGGTGTTAAAGCCTATTTAACTTAAACTCCTGTAAAAACAAGAAAGTCTCTTGTCAAACATTCATGGCATGCCCCGTCATTTAAGGGTTGAGAAAATTCCCAGTTCACATAACTGAATTATTCAAAAGAGATCTTCAGCAAACTAACTGAGACAAAACTTGATATTCCTGAGTTTTTTCTAAAGTACAACAAATTTGTGGGGTAAGGGAATAAAACAACCAAATCCAATTTTTGCTTTTTCCCTCCTGTTACTTTTAATAAACATCTTTCTAATAAGTGTCAACCAAAGTAGGAATTTCAAAGTGCTCTCAAGTTACTTAATCACTTTTGAAAATCCTCCCCTAAATTACTGGAAGTAGCACCATACTATAAGCTGCTTCCTGGCTTTCATTGCACTTGAAAAAAAATGAGGTTTGGAAAATTGCAACATGCTTAAAATTCCGTTATACCTTCTGTCTACAGAAAGGGCAAGAACACAGGCAAGTTTGTCAGATTTGCTTATGGAAGGAAGGGACATCACTTCCTCTGCAGAAGGCCTGTGTGGTTGGAGAGGGCAGGACTGTTGGACAACTGTTCTCCTAATCTTCAACAACAACCTAAATACTGTGGAATCCTCCAAACTCAAGAGGAAAGGGTTTGGGGAAACTGTCCAGTAGGAAGGACCCTAGGAGGAGCTGTGCTACCAACAGGACAGAAGGGAACAAAGAAGCCAAGAGCCGGCATGAAGGTATGGAACATAAGCACTGGAGTAGCTCATATAGGCAACTCTTGGAGCGTGAGATTGGCAACTGGGTTAAAATCTTTCCAGTCTTGTTTAATAACATGCTTCTTTATTTGTAGGGAAGGATGCCCTGGCTTATTATGGCTAGGCAAGAGTAGTTGTTAGCAAGTAATAAAGAGCTTTTTCATATCCTATAAGTCATAGGGTAATTCAAAACATATTTCTGCGGGGGAAAAAAAAACAGTAATGGAATTGAGCAGTACCGGGAAAAAGGAGCCAAAGTGATTACTTTTTAATGGGAGCTTTGAGGTTGGTACTGTAACCCTATGTTTTGTATTGTTTAATGCTAGAAAGTGTGAATCATTTTTCTGATCTAATGCTTTGTAATGCAAAATAACAAGGTTAGGTATAGTTCACAGTGCCTGGATTTGTTTTATGTTTCAAAAGTTTAAACAAATTATTTGCTGTATGAACAAAATGATAGTGATTTACTGATCACAGTACCGGGGGTGCTTTCCTGAAGTGTAAAAGCTGTTTAGCAAAAGGAACGTGCTGCTGTCAGCAAAACATACTCCAAACTCAGATGCTACAAACAATGTAGCATTAAAATGGAGATAAACGCTAATGAAATAGCATTCAAAGTCAATAGTTTTTTTATGCATGATAGATTAATTTAAAATATTCACTTTAAGAAACTCTGAGTTCCAATATTGCCCTGAACATTAAATGAAAGTTTCTGTGGTTTGGGAGGAAGAATCAGAATCCTGCAGCAGTCAGGAAAAGTAGTAATTTACAATTAGTCCTACAATGACAGCTATATAGATTAAAAGACAGCATTGGAAAGTTAAATTAAACTGTTCTTTAAAAAGAGCAGATGTTACTTTTGTAATTTTGAAAATTCCCTTTTATGAAAATTTCTCAGTCCTTATTAAAACAAACCTGGTGGCTCTAAGTTCACTTTACTAAACTGGGGTGAAATTCCACTTTCCCTACAGAAAGCTGACTTATTTTAATTTTGTGTTGGGAATGCTGGGCAAACTGAGGAAGACAGAATCCACACCCAAGGTCTGTAGAGATATACTGCCAGCTTTGTGCAGCTGGTGCTTCAGCATGTCTGCTGGAATATTGGCAGCAGCGTCATCAAGCCTGTAGCAGTAGTGTGGAAGACGTGAATGATAATAAATAGACACCCTAGTTCTGCCCCGGACCTGTTCTCAGTGGAGCTCTTTGTCTGAGCCTATAACACCATGTAGAAATTCCGTGAAACATTTCTAAAAAGTTTCCTGTAAAATGTGGTGTGCACAGAAATCATGCATGTTCCAAATCCTATTGATAAAAACCTTTTCACTGTGTCACACTGTGCTACCATTTATTGCTGTATATGCCACATATTTTACAGATAAACAGATTTTTAAAGAACTGCAGTTATTTTCAGTAAATCAAGAACACTGCTCACTGTATGTATTTTTAAAGCACTGCTATAACTTAAGTTTAGCAAAATAATATATTTCAGTTATTGAGGAAAATGTAACTTTTCAGTGAATTGTATAATGAATCTGGAATTTAAAAATGTAGTGAATGCAGCTCAGACAGATTCTGGCATGAATGGGGTTAAAAGTCTGCCCTAAGATGCCAGACATCCCTGCAAAAGCTGCCAGGATTGCAGTGGAATGCAGCCACCTGACAGGCTGGCTCTCTGCAGTCTACTAATACTAACAAGGGCGAGCAGATCAAGAAGATCTTCATGGTGGAATGTGTACAGGCCCCACCCCCTGCAGCAGGGAATATGAACCAGAGCAGAAAGAGTACACAGAAAGGGCCAGAATCATTTCAGAAGAAGCTAGTATACATACACACATCACTGGCCAAATTATTTACAACTTAGCTGGTGAGGAGAGGGGGAGGTGAAAAAGCAGAGCGTGATGTGTAATAGACACCTGTTATAAACCTGATGTAGACAGAGCTTGAAAAAAAGTAAGAGATGGAGCCTAAAGCAAAATAGATGTCATGTCTTGCATCTTCCAGGGCCACAGTAAAAGGAAGAAACACAGTTGCATCAAGGGCCAGACCCTACAAACTCATACACATGACACGAGTCATCTTCAGAAAGGCAAATAGTTCTCAGAAGTCAGTGAACTCCACCTGTGACTGAGGGCTTGCGAGGTTGGGCTGAGGGGATTGGGTAATCCTCCCTATAATTTTGCCGGGAGAACAAGGCTGTCCCTTCTGCAGCAAAGGTTTTGTGGTGACACCTTTCTTTTTTTCCAGACCCTGGGAGTCTTCTTTCTGTAGTCTGTCTGTGGGTATCTTTGCTAAATGAGGAAATGAAAATGAGCTAGCCTGGGGAATGTTTTGGGTCGTGGTATATTGCACATGACTTTCTCCTAGCCCTGTGACAACTGATGAGTAAAATGAGAGACCTAGTTAGCTTTATTAGCCTGAAGTCAGGCAATGAAATTAGCCCAGCCTTTTCCCTCCTTCCACCTGATCCCAGGCCTATAAGTACCATATTTTCTTGCATGCAACATGCCCTGGAATAAAATATGTATCTTGTTTTTGAAAGGCAGAATGAAGAAGAAAGATCTTCCCCTATAGTAAGTAACTAAGTAGGAGTAGCTAGGGATCCAAGTCTGCTCATTTTCCGCTCCTTGAGTGGCATGCAGATTTTACTTTCACTTTTGCCCAGTAAAGCAGAAACTGCTCTTACTGTATTTCATACATATAATGCACACTGTAATTTCCAGCAGCTGTTTTGTTTTGTTTTTTTGGGGGGTGGGGGGGAAGGTATGTGTTGTATACAAGAAAATACAGTATGTTATCTTTGCTGCCAAGAGCCATTTTGAGGTCCCTAACATGCTATGCCTGGGAGAATTAGTGTGGTTTCATTGAAGCCATTCTGTCATTGAGCTGATGAATACTTCCTTCTAAGACCCTTGGGTTTTTTTTTCTGTAGGTGGGGGTGATTGCATGGTGTTCCTACAGAAGTAGGAAAACTTTTAACTGTGAACTGTGGATGGTAGCTTCTGTAGATAAAAAAGGACTGACTCAAATCTTTACCCAAAGCTGAAACACTTTCAATCAAACCTTATTTAATGTTCAGAAATTCTTGGCTAACTTTATTATAAAAAAACCATTGTTCACATTCCATTCCTCTGTTTTTCCTAGTTCTTGGTGGGACTAGAAGGGAAAATGCCAAAATATCCTTTGAGAGCCTATTCTTGCAAGACACATCAGAGATCTCATTAGGAAGCCTGTTCTTGTAATACTCCTAGCCAAGTTTTGCAGTCTCTGTAAATCTGAATGATGTAAGTAAGTATGTGAACTTTTGGTACTTATCTGGTTTTCTCTTAATCTGTTTGTAAATAATCCACACTTCTGTGCTTCTTTCAAATCCATCCTAATCATGCAGACTTTTAAAATCTGTCATTGCACTTTCCAATTTTGTACCTGCTATAAGTAGATAAAAGAGCAAAAATCTTCTATAATGGGTAAAATTCAGTATATCATTATTCATAGTAGAATTTAGATCTTAGATGGAACTATTTGTCTTTAAAACCTTTTACAAATATATATGTTGTTGGGACTGTGGATAAGCTTATTTTGGTGCTGGTGTAGCAGGTGTTTTTCTTAACCATTTTTTTTTTTAGGAGAAATCCCAACTTTAGAGGAAATGAGCACTCGATTATTTAAATTTCCTGAGATTAGAGGAAGAACACTTTGCCAAACAATGCCTCTTCACTTCAAAACCTCTCCTCATAAATTATGTTAGGAGATCTTATTAAAAGTCTGTAAAAATTTCCTATTAAAAATGGTTGATTGCAGTCCAGACCATCACAGCTTTTGTGCTTTCGTTGAAATACCACAGCTGTCGCAAAGAAATATACTGTGAGACAAAAGGTTTTGTTTCCTTTGTAATAAATTATTTTTGTGATATCCGAAGTAAGATAAAACTTTCACTATGTTTGAGTGAAGGAAGATTCTTGTGATAACTTGTTCAAAAATCTATAAAAAGAATATAAGAATGCAGATCTAGATAGCAAATTAGAATCAGACTTCCTTTTTGTTTAGCAAAGCAATTACTTCTAAAGTCAGTGAAGATTATAACTATGGATAATGGAATGACTTACAAAAGCACAGCGACTATAGCTCAATAGAATCTTAAGTTGAAATTTTCAACTTTGACCTTTGAAAACTGTACAGGAGAAACCTTCAGCATTGGAGATTTTTACAGACAAAACTAAGTGGTATGAAACAGCCTATTTGCTAAATACATTTACAAATAGTATTGGAAAAATACTGCAAACATCTTTTAAGAGTTTTTTTAAATTCTGAACTTTTAAACAAAGTTGCTTTTACTACATTTGTTTTTCCATTTCTCCTTAGGCAAATGAATTTTCTGCTGGAAAGTTTGCAGAAGCAAACATTCATTTAGTAAGCTGCAGTATTTGCACTAGGGATCTGAGTCTAGGCACAGTAGTCATCCAATCAAGGAATGAAAACATACCACATGACATGCACATTGTGTCAAAATTTAAACAACATAACCTGTATTTTTGCACAATCTATGTAGCAAGTAGTTTTAACTGAAAGATACATTAGGGATATTCAAAATTTGTTCACAGAAGAAAGGTCAAATTTACTAAATAAATTCCTTTTATACCTAGAAGTTAATGGCTGTTTTATACATGTATTAAAGAGAATTATTGTAGATGCTAGAAAATAAGATAGAATAGAAGATGCTGTTCAACAACTTCATTAGTGACCTGGATGAGGGTGTGGAGAGCACCCTGTTCAAGTTCGCTGATGACACCAAGCTGTGGGGTAAAGTGAATACACCAGCAGGCAGGGACCACATCCAGGCAGATCTGGATAGGTTAGAGAAGTGGGCAGATCTGAACAGGATGCAGTTCAACAAGGACAAGTGCTGGGTGCTGCACCTGGGGAGAGGGAACCAGTATTATGGTTATAGGTTAGGGGCTGACCCTCTCAGCAGCACAGAGGTAGAGAGGGATCTTGGAGTCAGGATTGACTCCAGACTGAATATGAGTCGCCATTGCGACGAAGCAATAGGCAGAGCCAACCGCACCCTGTCCTGCATCAACAGGGGCATCACTAACAGGTCCAGAGAGGTCTTGCTCCCCCTCTA